GGGAAGCCTTGGGCAAGCCGCAGGTCGACCCTTCCTCTTCATGTGAAAGAAGGGCTCCGGTTACCTGGCAGGCGGTTGGGATTCCGGGCCAGTCCGGGTTCCAATGAAATCCCGCGGCGGAGTGATCCGACCGACCTGGGTGCTTCCCTGCTTTTCTTCGGAGCCCAGCGGGCTCCGTGCACCGCACTTAAATGCTTGAAGGAACCTCATATGAACATAAACGGTAATCGAGAAGGAATAATCATGCCCTATGAACGGACACACAAGTGAAGATGAAGGGAATGAAGGGAGTTGCTAGACTCCAGGGAAAAACTAGCTCCCCCTTGAAGATGCTCACGAAAAGGAACTGGGCACTATGTATGAAAAGTAGGGGTGAATGGCACAGGCTGTCCTGAGAGAAAATTTATGAGTTATGGGTAGGAAGCGCTGGGTGCACCAAGGGAAAGGCACTTATGTTATGTATGTCCCACTTGGGGCTTGTGATTGCATGATTGGGATTTCAAGCGTCCTGCCATTCAGAAGGAAAGGATTGGTTTGCGTCGGCCGGTGCGAGATGCGAACTGGTCGTCCTCTTTGAAGTTCACCGGGTTCCGTGTGGGGGGGTCGGGCCACCGGACTGTCGGGCAAGGGTTGGTCTCGTCGGCTGATTAGTAGCATTCTCACCCGAGCGGTCTGAGCATGGCTCGATGACCTTGCCCAGGGGGGATGTGAAACCTCTTCAGGCGGGGCGGCTGCTTGTCGGCAGACGGCAGGGGGACCACTGCATATGGGGCAAGGAAGGAGCCTCAGAGGCGATTAAAAGCTTCTCGTAGCATGGCTTGGGAAGAGTTGTTCCTTATCGGACCGATGGAAGTGAATGCCTAGACGGCTGGCTCCAATGGCCCTACCGAGATGTGCGGGGTGATTCCCGAGATTAACGGTGGGTACACGAGCGGCAAGTCGGGATGGGGTATTCTGGGTAAGGAGGAAAGGGCGAATGCCTTGTCGAGACCTGGGTACCGCGTTCGCGACGGTTGAGCTGTGCTGGGGTATGGGTTGAAAACCCTGCCGATAGTAACAGTGGAGAGACCATTTATGGGGAAAAGGTCGGTGAGGAGACGACCGACCTGTGTGTGACGTTTGTCTGGTTTTGCTTTTTGTGCCTCCCTCTGTAAAGTTGCCTGATGAATGTTGGAAGGGGACCGAGCTTCTAAGTCTATTCTCACCTCCAAGTCTGAGTCCGCACGAGTGAGAGAACATGAGGAAGAGGTTGGACAGGAGTCAGAAGGAAGTGGAACCAAGAAAAAGGAATGCGAGTCACTGGTGATCGATTGGGGGGGACTGGTTAGGGATGTAGCGCTGGCTGATACGCTTGGAGGAAGGGTAGAGAACTTTAGGGAGACCTTGATGAGGGGTCTCTAAAAACAACGCTCATCTAGGATAATGGTGGACCTGACCCGAGGGCCGATTGGTGCGCTCATTGGACGAAACAGGTCTTGGCCACCGGTATAAAGAAGGCAGGATGGCGCAGTGGCTGGCGTCGCCGACCTACTCAGATGGACCAGAGATGCCAATAGATGTGAAGGGTGGGGTATCAGTCGTAATGCCAGAAGAAGGAACGTGGACGGACCTGGAGTCGGCCTATCAAACCGTAATGCTGGCCGAAAGTGATGCCTTCCTATGGATTGAGACGATGTGGACTAAGGTAACCTTGGCCAGGATAACGCCGTGCCTATTGGACTTAGAGTTCCGGGGGACCGTGGAAGCCCGGGGATGGATCTACCTGTCAAAGAAGAGGGAGACTGCGATGGTTGTCGAACTCACCTTGGGGAAACTTCCGTACAAACTGTTCAGGGAGGCCGAGCGGGAAGTAGTGTGGGCCGCCTGCCAACGAGTGGAGATGACGATGGAATCGATTGATGTGCGGGTAGAACTTGGGGATAGGGAAAACGTGCGGAAGCCGTACAGGGCCCTAAGGTGTGTCATGCCGCCCTTCATGGTAGACGCCGTCTTTGGAACCCGGAGTAGGTTGGTGCGAATATGCAGGGCCATGGCAGGGTTGGGGTTGCACTAGGGAGCCCGCCAGGATTTCTTCCGGTTGTCGGTCGAAATGGGACCCTTCGAGGGAAACTGGGCAAGGGAACAGGCCAAGATTTTAAACCATCTCAGCACAGACGGCCTGTTCGTCCCAAGCGAGGTGCACTGGCGGATAGTTTACAGGAATGTTGCGGTAGGGGAAATCTTTCTGGAGGGTGTACGGGACCTGTGGCCTGAAGAGAATGAAGATGACTCCGAGGAGGAGGACGAGATGGAAATCGAGGAATGGGATTTCTAGGAAAAAAGGGGGCTGAGGACGGAGTGGTTGGGTCGCGTGGGGGTGTGCAGGGAATCAAGGATGGCAAGGGAGCAAAGCTTGTGGGCGCGGATGCTTAGAGGATGGATACCTAGGAGGGTTGAGGGCGGGGTAGAGATGGTCTTGCCAACAAGGAACGAGTGGCGCGGCGCGGCCTGCGACTGGGTGGGAGTAGAGATGGTACCGACTATGTCCTTTTTGTGGGTAGAACGGGTGTGGGATCCGGTTCGAGAAAATGAAGCGTGGGATGAAATAGCCGAGGGGAACGTGGAAGCACTTGGGACGGTGTGCCTTTCGAAGAATGGGTGGTTTATGTTTTGCACGCACCTAGCGGCGGGACGAGACCCGATTTAGATATTAGAGGATGCTGAGCGGTTAACTTGGAAAATGGGGCAGAATTTTGCAAATGAGGGGTGGGATAAAGTGGGAAGCAGGGTCGTGATGGGGGGATGGGAGGACCTTAGGCTCCCCTACCAGTTAGTCCAGGTGAGGGTGCCGCATTTTGTTGCGGATTGGTTTGGAGGGTACGAACATATCCGCGCCGTAGCGGAATCCATGGACGAGGTAGAGATAGGCTTCGCCTGGTTATCAGACGCTTATTACAAGGCATCATTGCGACTCGGGCCGTTTCACGGGGACCGGGCTGAGGAAGTGGTCGAGATCCTGAAGGAACTTAAGGACTACCGACTAGAGGTAGGAGAGGAAGTCGAGGAGGCGATACTCCGTCGGGAAATAGCCGCAGCGCCCTCGTATGTAGGGGACGTCTTCTTGCTGTTTGAGGTCCTATGGATTTGAGTACGGACCTG